TCAAAGACCCTTCGAAACCACGTGGCAAGGACGAGCTACAAGGTCGGCAGAGGACGAATTACGAAGTCACTACGTCACCGCAACCGTATCACGTTCTCTCTCTGTCCAATCCGGTCGATCGGAAAGAGACGGATCCATTTTCTGTCTACTCGTTCGTCATTTCGGGTCGGCGTTATCGGAGTGGAGCAGCACGCGTCTTCTTTCAACCCCGTTGGTTGGACAATGACAGGACGACATTTTGACTAGTCGATGCGGCGAAACGAGGCGGGGGAAAGGAAGGGCAGAGGGCGGGGGTTAAAGGGACGCAATCTGAGTGACGAGGGTCGTCGAATGACGTTTGTGGCCCGAGGGATGCGATGCCTATTTGGGTTAGGGTGAATTTGTGAGAAGCGGAAGGCGCAATGATGTATACTTAGATTGAACGGTATACGTTGTTGGTCGAGTTTAATTTTAATTAAATCACCATTTTTAGATTGTGAATAATTTTTTTTAGAAAATTTGATAAAATTGGAGAAAATGAAAAAAATGCGGATGTCATAAAATTTTACGAAGAATAATTAATCATAATAAAAAAATATGATTAAACATCGGATTCTCAAAATGTGTAGCACAGGCGAATGTGGTGTAGCTGTGCAATCGTTAAAGTAAATGTGTAGCAAAGTACACAATTGTGTAGCTTATGGCAACGTTGATGTCGCTATTAAAAATGTATGATAAAATATATGAAAAAAAATACTTGAATCTCTTCTAAAAAGACTTAAATCTCATAAAAGACTTAAATCTTTTAAAAGTATAATGTAAAATGACTTCGGTCATTAAAAAAAGATTTAAGTCTTTTTTAATTAATTAAATCTTTTCTAAAAACACTTAAATCTTTCAAAAGGCTTAAATCTTTTTTTAATGACTTCTATGACTAATCTTTTTCTATTTCGGAATAAAGGTGTTAAATCACAAGTAATTTTGAAAATGACTTAAATTTTAAGTCTAAAGTCAGCTTTTGAAATATGACTTAAAATCAAATGATTTAAGTCATTAAAATGAGTCATGAAAATGATGAATTAATGAAATGAAATGAAATGCTGAGTAAAAAAAAAGACTTAAAGGTAGTATCAGAGTATCAGACACATAGCTACTTTTGTTGCGCAGCACATTATAAAACTGCGCAACTTGATCTGCTGCAAGTGTGAATACCTATAGGCAACCTGCAACGTTGCGATCACAGCTTGGTTGGGTACTTTTTTGTTGCGCGCACTTTATAAGAAATAGCCGTGTCTGAACAGTTGTTGAGGAAGATTGCAAGTGCATCAGCAAAAGATTACTAATCAGTTGAAACTTTTACAGCGAATATCGGTACAGTATTCTGTTGGTATGCCCGAAATGTATACACTTTTTTCAGATAACTCCAGGATTTATATGTAGGTATTTAGTAAAGAATTAACCGACAAATTGCGATGTCGTCGAAGTCAAAACAAGCGATTTGGAACAGAGATCAAGTAAAATGTTTAATAGAAGCGGTAGAAGCAAAGGAATGTTTATGGAACGTAAAAAAAGGCCATTCTATCACAACCAAACGAAAAGACGAGCCGCTATTTCGGAAATTTCTTCTGAATTACACATGCCCGATGAAGACATAAAAAAGAAAATTCACACGTTGCGTATAATGCGTATACAATATTCGAAAGAACGTTCAAAAATGAAAAGTTCCAAATCTGGTTGCGGAGCAGACGAAACCTACATAGCAAATGGGAATTATTTCCTACTAAACCCACCAAAAAAAATGGGAATTTTACTTAACTATAACTACAACCGCCTCCCAAAAGGTACACACACGATACCTTGAGCTGTGGGTGGTGTACTGTTGAATGTTGCCCCTCCAAGGCTGCGGCTACCAAAATTTGTTGCAAAAGTAGCGCTTTGGTGTGAACATATGAAAAGCATGTAGTGTCGATCTGCAACTTTTTTAGGCAGCTGCTGGATAAAAACTGCGCGATTTGGGCTACTTTCTGTTGGTGTATGAACACTGTATGCAACTCTTGCAGCGGCTGCAAAAAAATTGCGCAACAAAAGTAGCTGTGTCTGATACTACCTAAGTTTTCTGTGAGCTTGCAGCTCTGGACGGATATTCGTGGCATCTATAGCGAAAACAGCTAAAAAAGAACGTTTGTGCGGAAGCTGTAGCATAGGAACAGGCGAGACCGTTATCGATCCGATTCTTTGTCTGTTGGCCGCTCTTCTTCGCCTTCGTCCGTCGCCTTCTTGTTCTTCTCGTGGCCGTGCAAGGGTCAGTAGGAAGTGGGCGTAGAGTTGGGAGGGGCCGTGCGGCCGCCCGAGTCACGATATGCATGCGGCCGCTCAGCCGCCGATGCGGCCGTCGCCGACGCCGCCGTCCGACGCCCTCTACGACCCTCGAGGGGGATAATTCGCGTCAATGAGCACTCGATGGCAATGTAATGAGCAGAGTTTTTAGAGATTGAAGGGGACTGAATATTAAGTGGAGACTCGAGCATTATTATACCGGGTGCGCCTCAAAAGTGGCTCACCCTTATAACTTTTTTATTTTTTCAGATAAAAAAATGAGATTTCGTGTGTTAGTATATGATATAAATTAGGATTGATTGACGTATTCAATTGTTTTCCGCCACTTCCTGTTTTACGGGAAATGACTACAACTTTTGATTTTTAAATGGCACCCTCAGTATTTTTTTTACTTTTTTCGATAGAAAATGACACTCTGAATCGAATAACATTATCATATGTCAACTTTTGACATATTCGCTCAAAAACAAATTGTATTTTAAATTTTAAATCTAGAGTGCCATGGTCGTGTTAAAAACACTAATTTTTAAGCAAGGAAAATTTTGGCAGCCTTGGAAAATAGATTTGATCGTCTAATGTTTTTAGTGTCTTGTCCTGGCCAGTTAAAAGATGCCCAAATCGTATTTTAATCATATTTCAATTTTTTCAAATGGAACGAGGTGGCTCATTAGCATTTTTTTACGAATTATTTGATACCACACAATTGGTATTTCGAGTCAAATTGGAAATGAACCGCATGTTAGAATTTCAAATAAACTACATATATGCGAAAATGTCACAAGTTTTTTCTTTATAAAGTTAATTTGTTTTGATTAATTACTCTGGTTAATTTCTGTAACTTACCTCAATTTCTTCCTTTTTAACGAAACGTGTTCTAATAATTTCTTTATCTTTTAACTTATATATAGGTACCTACTCGTGGTTTGGGGGCAATTTTTTTTTTTGTAAAATATTATTTAGTAGGTACTTTGGTAGACATGTTGCACTTGCGAATTTTGCGATCTTGAATGCTGGTTACGAGCAACCAATCAACAAATTTTCACGATATCGTCTGCTGTTTATAAGAGGAGTTAGGGCGTTTACACACACGCCGGCAAAATCCGTGCCGGTGCCGGACCTGAAGTCGATTGCAATACCTATAAATAAATTAGATCTTTCACATATACTCCGATCCGGTAAAATAGTCGGGTCCGGCAAATACAATAGAATTAAATACAACTGTCGTAACGGGTGCAAAGCCGGCGCCGACTCCGGCACCGATTTTGCCGGTGTGTGTGCAAGCGCTCTTTAGGTAGTTAAAATTTGGAATCACGGATGCTATTTACTAGACGGATTTGCGATATCGTATGCTGTTTACGCGGCATCGTTCGGCCTAGAACCGAATCGCGATCATGGACGTCGTTTACAAATATGCCTCCGGGAAACAGTCAAAGAGGCACTTCCACCGATAACCTTAATCTCAGAAGTTACACATGCCTGGGCACTGGGCACAACTGGCAACCTGGCAGGCAGTAATGGCAACATCCAAAAAAAAATAAACAACCAGATTAGTCCAACAAAAATTTAATCAAGAAGATCTGTCTTCTTCCCTCTAATCTGCCGCCCTCAATTTTACCTTCAGTGACAAGTGACTCTTAGATATTTTACGGCGATATTTGTACTATCGCCTTTTGTTGTCAATTCTGAGGACTGCCCTTTCCTGTTTTGAAGAATACAACAATTTTATTTTTGTCGACATTGATGTGCAATCCCGCAACTGATACATGCTATATTCAACGATATACAAGATATATTCGATGTTTTTAAAGTTGCAGAATGTTGCCAGATAGTTTGACCATATCATCCGTAAAACGAATATTATTAATAAGGGTTAGGTATTCCATTTTCAATCTTAGAAGACCGGCAAAGTTTTTACTTTAGCCTTTTTCCATCTTGGAAGACCGACAAACTTTTTATTTAAACCCTTTTCCATCTTGGAATATCGGCACACCTATCATTTCAACCATTTTTCATCTTGGAAGATGGGCAAACTTTAAGAGCTAGTTTATAGAGACTATAAAGCTAGTTTATAGTTTAGAGCTAGTTTACAAACTAGCTGATTAGTTTGCAAGCTGTATTCGTTTTGGTTGTGGTTTGTGATGTCATGATTTTATACCTATACTATTGTTTTAACATTCATTATTTATTTTAGTTATTAGTTAGTTTTAAAACTAGCCAAGTATCTATTTTAGTCGTAACATACACACTGAAAAAATAAGAAGTACATTTCGATCGGTCTGGTTCACAAATAATGTAAGTACAAAAATGTCTAGTTTTAAGCTATATGAATTTTAAAGTTTATAAGTTCGCCAAAATTCACTTCTTGACTATACTTAAGTACTTAACACAAATGCCACAAATGGACGATGGATTTTGCACCAACAAATTTAAATATTTTACTTAACCATTGGTGTGCCTCAGAAAGCTGTTGACTAAATCATTTGTTTACTGAAAAATGCGCTTACAACATTTATGCGTACTAGACAGACCATCGATTTGATTTGTCAGATAAGAGAAAAAATTGTCATATTCAATTTTGAGCAATTTCTCTTAGCGTATTTCTCCTGGTATTTCTAAAATTATAACCGATGCCCTTTAATATTGAACCATTCTTTTTACTTACATCACATTTTTTTTTGTTGCAGACTAATCCTGTAAATATGGCTGAACTCCAAAAGCACCAAGTTAAAGATCTCAATTCCGTATTGGTTTGTAGACTGTGTGAAGGATACCTTATTGATGCAACTGCCTTGGTTGAATGTTTGCATACTTGTAAGTAATTTATTCATAATTTTCTTATTTAGCAGTATAAGTTAGCTATAAGGAATTAAAGCAAAAATATTCTTTATGTTAAAATGTGAAGCCATTTTTTAGATTAAGAGTAGTTTCTAACTTTAACGAATGTTTCCTTCCAGTTTGTCGTGGTTGCATTCTGCGGTATTTTGAGAACAACAAGACACAATGTCCTGTTTGTCCAGCTGTATACAAAAAGAAGACTCAATGCTTTCGGTAAGTTATATATATTATATATATATATATATATATATATATATATATATATATATATATATATATATATATATATATATATATATATATATATATATATATATATATATATATATAAGAGTGATGTCTTATGCAGCAGAATTGAAACCTCAGTTTAGAGACTAGTAGCTAAAGCTTTTAAATTTAAACGATTATACCTAGACCTGTTCGGTGTTGAGATTTGAACACCGGTGTTAGGTATTGATGACCACCGGTGTTTCAGTCGATGTACCGGCGTCAACACCGACACCGGTGTTTATCTCAACACCGGTGTTCATTTCAGCACTGGTGTTCATCTACAACACCGGTGTTTATCCCAACACCGGTGTTTATCCCAACACCGGTGTTTATCTCAACCCCGGTGTTTATCACGACACCGGTGTTTATCTGAACACCGATGTTTATCGCAACACCGGTATCGCGATGAACACTGGTATCGCGATGAACACCGGTGTCGCGATCAACACCGGTCTCGGTGTCGTTTGTTTTTTTTTAGTTTTTTTAATGTAATATTTTTAGTTTATTTTACAGCTACTAATTTATGTTTCTTTATGTTTTGTTTTGTTTTCTGTGTGTTTTTGATTAAACAATTTTTAAATTTATAGTTGTTTATCTGACGCTTCCACTTTATTTTAGTTATTAGTCTGGCAAAAAATATATTTAAATTTGAATGCTTTAAATTTAAGTCTGTGCGCTTTCGATAAACGATAAAAATAATCACCGATAAGACATTATTATTATCAGGGTTTATTTTGAACTTATTAATTAACATTATTTCTTCTTTAACCCGTTTACCAAACCCCGGTGTTGTAGTCAAAACCGGTATCGAGATGAACACCGGTATCTAGACCAACACCGGTTTCGAGATGAACACCAGTGTCGTAGATGAACATCGGTATCGAAATAAACACCGGTGTCGGTATCAACACCGGTGTCGGTGTCAGCACCAGTGTCGGTGTCAGCACCGGTGTCGGTGTCAGCACCGGTGTCGGTGCCAACATCTGTGTCGGTGTCGACACCGGAACACCGCGAATAGCCCATATTTCGCCACCGGTGTCAGCCCAACACCGGTGTTTGAAACAGGCCTAGTTATACCTACTGATCTATTTACTTCATAAAAAATAAAAACCCACGAATAAATCATCAAGTCAATCAAGTTTTTTAAATTCATGAATTCTTCTGATTCATAAAAATTCAGACAAAATATAATATATTATGCAATGACTATAGATCATACCAAATAAACTTTTAGTCATGCGATTAAGCTTGACCAGCACGGCGTTGCCCACTTTTACATATTTTCTTTCAATCAAAGCATTTTAGGAAACCAAAATAAATTATAAATATATAAACAGTTATTATTTACATCAACAAAACTCACCTCCATAACAGCAGTTAAGGGACGTAAAGGACCATTACTACCGCTTTCCCGTTCAAAATATTCTAATAAGGTTGCGATGAGTTTTTTGCGACGGTTATTAAGCTGTTCCGCACTAAAAGAGATTCTAAGAAGAGGTTCTACTTCGCACTAAAAGAGATTCTAAAAAGAGCAATCTTCTACTGCAAGGTCTGTCAGTAAAAAAATTAAGCTTAAAGTATCACAACATTATTTATTTAAACCAAAAACTCGTAATATAAAACTAAAGTGTCAAAACGAATAACAATGTCAGTAAATAAATAAATAAATGTGGCAACTTGGCATTTTATACAGCAGGGCTATCACCTGAATCCCGAGCGGGAAATTTAAATTTCATTTAGTCAGCCTGGTGCCAAATATGTCTATGGTTGGCAGCAATGAATTTAAAAATCGCGCCCTTGATTACATAACTAAAAGTTTAATGGGCATCGCTTATACCAACTCATAATTTTTGATCATTCGCCGATTGTTTATTTTCATTGAGATAACAAAATATACAAAAAGTAAGATAAAAAAGTTTGCAGATTTTTAATACTTTCTTTCTCGTTGTTCTCTTTAAAGATCGGATTCGCAGATTCAGGCTCTGGTTTATAAACTGGTGCCGTCCCTGTTTGTGAAGGAAATGCAACGTAGGGAAGAATTTTATCGAAGTACGGGCGTAAGGACTGGCAGCTCGTGCAGCGATGACAGCGTCATAGATAGGGAACGCGACATGCTTAACGAGTCGGAGGAAATGGTAAGCTATAGCGTTGATATTGATGGAGGAGTTTTATTAATAATGTCTTTAATGTCATAATATAATAATATGTATTGTTGATGATTTTTTAAAATTTCACAAAGTGTGACATTATCTACCATTATTTCCCTCTTTCATTTATTTCGTCCATTTCCCTCACGTTTTCTTTTCTCATTTCTCTTGCTTCTCTTTCTGCAGCTTTTTAAAGATCTGATGAAGTACAAACGTGTAAATTAGTTTTTTGAAAGCGTTTCGAAATTGACAGTTTTTGATATTTATTTGAGATTCGAAATGACATTCTTTTAGGCACTAGTATCTAAAAGTGACACTTGTTTAGGCACTAGTGCCTAAAAGTAAAAAATGAAACGTTAGAAACAACGAAAATATTTATTTATTATAAATCTTAAAGGTACAATTATTTAAATTATTAAAGTGAATACAAGAGGCATCCAACTTTTCGTCTCTATCAGAGAAATGCAAGTTGTAGGAGTCGGAATAAGTAAATTTCTTGTACTGGCAATGCTGGTAGCTTCTGCTTCTACGTGAACTGCTTTTAATTTCTTATTTGGCGTATCTTTCTGTCCCATGATTCTTTTTGCTATTTCGGTTTTCTGTTCAATTGAATTTTCAATGTAACCTTCAGCAACCGAGCTTGATCGCCAACCTCCATGTCGCTTTAAAACTGTTATGTCCGCTCCTGAATCTGCCAGCATTGTTGCAGAGCTGCGCAGGAAACAATGACCAGTGCATTCAATGGCGTTGGAGAGTCCAAGAAATTCTGCTATCTTTTTTGGCATACCTCCAATTGTATTGATTCCAACTGGCAGGGTACAGCATTGATTTTTTCAATACGTCAAGAAAAATCGCTGATGTGTCACATTGAGTGGTCGAAGTTTTGCGAACTTACGAAATAGATGTAAGAAATTGAGTGGTCCATCTAGTGGACCCTCAGTAATCGTAAACACTCTTGGAAAATGAGATTTTGTATTCTGAATCTTCACACTAATAAATGACTGACAATCTTTAATAGCATCTACGGTCAAACGCGTGATTTCTTCCCTCCTACATGCTCCAAATACTCCAACGATTAAGACAACTTTAGCCAACAGGAATTCTTTGTCATCGGCTTCTTTCATAAAGCGTTCTATTTCCAGTTTTGTAAATACTTTTTTGATTTCTTTGCCTGATATCCGGAAGCTTTTGTTTTTAAAAATGCAATAAGGTTTGTGAATTTGCTAATATCTACGATTCTGTTCAGGTAAATCATGGTGCAGAGCATCGAATATTTACTCTACAGAGTTGACGGCTTTAAGGTAGTGGGTAACTTTAGGAAGTAGGCTAGCATTACCTTTTCTGTGAAATTCTCAACATGTTTTTCTTTGACCCAGGTTTCAAAGTTGTTGGAGGTGGTCTCGTATAAATTTTTCGACTTCTCGGGCACTAACGTGGATAGCACAGTTTCAGCAGCTTGTTGAATATCCAAAGATTCGTCATTATCACTAATTTTTTCACAAAACTTTGTAGGAAATACGGAGACGTTTGAACCTGACAGAACTTTGTTTGTCATTAAACAATATATAAACAATGCCTTAGAAACCGATTACAAGAACATTATAAAATATGTTTAAAAATAAATAATAATAATAGCATGAAAATCTCAAATTATCCGCTTTCACAAAAAATCTTGTATGAAATTCGTTGCGAAAAGAGTGTTTTAAGCACTCGACGCATTGTCCAGTGCGCCCCGTGTCCAATTTTGCGTCCAATAAAGTGTCCAAGTTTGCGTCCCGTGCTTAAAACACATTCATTTCGCAACGTGTTACATAAATAGCTATTTCATTATCGTCACTTTCTGAAAACATGTTGGCTGTCAAATTCGAAGGATCTTATAAGAAATTCAAAATTGACAAAAAATATTCATGTTTCACTGATGGGGTCGAAATATACCACTCCTATAAATATCACACTATATATATATTATAACAGCAACGCACTACCGATATAAACTACAAATTTGTGCCAAATAACTTTTTGCCTTTGATTTATTTAAATATCTTAGATACCCTAATGAAGGCATATCTGAATGAGTTCTTTTCTTATTATAGATCTCTCAATACATCGGTGACAGGAATCAGTACTTCAGTCCCGAAGACCTAATATCGCTTTCGTTAGAATACTATCAAGATCATCTCGACACCACAGACATAAACCACAAAAATAAAGAAACCAACTCTGCCAATCCCGCCAACAGTTCAATGCAAGACACCAATACTACAATTGAGGCCAAACCTGTAACTCCAACTGCCGAAGATCCAAATACGATTGTGACAAAAGACATAAATATTAGTGAGAGTGATACGACGGTTGCCAAAAGTAACGGACAAATTAGAAGTGAACTTGGTGACAAAAGGTACTTACAGTGTCCTGCCGGTGTTAATATGAAACACTTGCAGAAATTCGTGAGGATGAAGTATGGCTTAACCGGAGATCATCGGGTAAGTTTTTTTATTAATAAGAAAAATTACATATATCGTCGAATTTACTGCAGAATATCAAAAGTAATTATAGGTACATGCTTTTACAATGATAAAAAAATTCTCCACTTGCTTCTCCTCAATCTTTTATCGTAGATTTATTTTAGTAAAATCTGTTTAAAAAATATTTCGTCTCTGTTTTAAATTAAGGCTAAGAATATTAAATTAAGTCTTTGAATAAGAAGACTAAGGAAGGAGCATATCAAAAATCATAGGTACACCGCGATAGGCCTCAAATATGGCCGACTTAAATTCCGGTTTATCAGTGTCGTTCTAATTTTATTTAAAAAATGTAAAACTATGATGTAGAGTAGACGTGAGGTAGACTCAATAATTTGTTGTTTTTATTTTACGTTGTGAATAAATGTTGGTAGTTATTAAAATTGTTATAAAAATATATAATTCTAATAAAAATAGATAAGTTATAATAAGTATTTATTAACACAAACATCCGATACGCTACTGAAGCAGGTAAGTCAAATTAACGTATCTAAATTCTTTGACATCTAATCTTTGGCAAGTAATAAATAAAAGCTAAAATGCAAGAAAAATATATTATTTAGGTAATTTAAGTGAATTTCATAAATAATCGGTTTACTACACGTATGTATATTATATAGTCACTTACTAGCGAAAAGTTGTTCCATTATTTCACTCAATTTTTGTCGAGATCTACCGCACGCTACACAACCAACTATTTTAGAGTCTTTTTCGATAAATCGCGATAGTGTCACTGTTAATTTAAGTTCTGCCACAATTTCCATCTAGATTTACTACCTTTATACAACTATCAGTAGTAGAATATATAATAAATAACATAAAATAAGCTCCGTAAAGACTGACAAATCCACAAAATTTCAAATCAAATTCAAATGTGTCAAATGAATCGTCAAACAGAACTGTCAAGGATCCCCACCCTAGAGTGCTTTTTCCGCCCACCATGCATGAATACATGGATAGCATTATGCTCCTTCCTTAGTCTTCTTATTCAAAGAATTAAGTATAGGCTGTCCAAAGATAAAAATATGACAGGGACAACTATAGTCTGTATATATGCTTGGTAATTTTTTAATGTCATTTATCAAAAACTTTCCCTGTCTTGCTGTTATATTTTATTTTAGACTAATTAGGGTATTTCTTACAGGTCGATATAATTTACAAAGGAGAAGTACTTCCAAACGATTTTAGCCTGATGGATGTAGCATACATCTATAAATATGAAAAGGTAGGAATTTTATACATTATTTTATTTTTTGGTATTTAGTACCTGTATTAGATACTATTCCCCTATAGGGATTCTAGATCTGTTACTTTTTAGAGATTTACAATTTTTATAAGAATTTTATATTTTGCTTAAAATTAAATTAGAGGTAATATTTATACAAGTACATACATTCTTTAAATATATAAGTGATCATTCTTATAATAGTTATTTAAATATTTTTTATATCAATTTTGGAAGACTCCGTTTTTTTCACGATTTAGAACATGCAAAATAATCTTTACTATCATGAAACTAAACAATAGCTGATATTTTTCAACGATGTCTTGTACTTGGTTCGTGTAAAATAAAAGTTGAGGTTAGGTTAGGTCAGGTTCTAATGGGCGAAGCAGGGTAATCAAAAATTACCTCATTTTGCATGATTTTACTTCTCTCTTCGATCCCCTGTTATGTTTTTGAGATCTTCTTGGGGGATTGATGGTATGACTTGACGTCATTTGTAAAAGTGAGATCAATATATTTCAACATTTACAATAAAGAGTACAAAATGCATTCGGAAGTATAAGAAGAAGATATGTTCAAAGAGCTATAAATAAGATTGAACGAAAAATAAATTTGTGCATTAGGGAGGGTGGTAACCCTTTCGAACATGTAGCATTAGAAACTAGTTTGTAGAAGTTGATTTATTTATAATAACTACGATTAATACTATGCATATTAAGGTACCCAAAACAAAAAAAGTATAAAGTGTGGCATATCATTATACTCGGGAGATCCAGTTCTTTCAAAACTTCAAATAAAAAATGCAGATTTGTATTTAAGAAAAATATATTGGCTTCTGTACCTCACAAATTATCAGCTAATTTGAAAATATAAAAATACTATCTATCAGATATCCCTTATAAAGTGGCTATGAGAATGTGCAATTAGTTTTTTGATTTTCTAAACACTAACGGCAGGAAAAAATAAAATTGATTTTCAAAAAAATCCGTTTTTTTTTCAAAAAACTCAGCAGTCCTTGAAATTTTTAAAACTTTTTTGATAGCATCTTGGTGAACATCCAAAGGGAGCAAGTTTGCCCCAATTTAACCATCTTCGTATCTATTACGGTTTCCGAGACACCAATGCGCGTATCTCGAATTTGTAGCACCCTGTATTTATAACGTGCGCTCTAAATATTTATTCATAACTTTAATGCGTAATCGCTATAGTAAATATAATTGAAAACAACCAATAATAGTTCAATAAAATTGTCATTTGAAAATAAAAAAATTACGGGCAAGCTGATTTTTTCAGAGTTTGTCAGCGACTGTCTTCTGAGTGTAAAATTAACAAAATCGGAAATTTTCCCCTTGAGGTTTTTGAGCAATAGGGGTGTTTTTTTTAACTGTACTACAACAAAATAATTAGACGCAAATTGTACAGAAGAACATTCTCTATAAGTTCGCCTAATGAATTTTTTATAAGTTTATTATTTCCGCACTTAGCGGCCGTTTCATGAGCCTTTTGGGGTGGTTTTCAAAAAGTTTGTTTTACAGCAAATTGACCCGTATGAAAGTTGTTCATAATAAATGGACAAGCAACTTTTCCTCATGATTTTTTTGTAGCTTTATTATTTTTGGAGATAACGTCCAGTGCATGAACAAATTGTGGTAGTTTTATAATTTTTGTTTAGTTCTACAAATTTACCAACTTAAAGGTGTTCATATTAAAATTACATGCTAATTTCTCTGTGATATGTATTTATTTCCTCAAAACGAAACAGGGAATTCATCAAGTGAATGAATATTATTATTTTTTTTATTTGTATCGTCTTATTTTGTGTGATGGACCTGGCGTTGGCTCCTCAGATTTATTGTTGGTTTCTTTTGTTGCTTCGTATGAAGTAAAGTCATCGTCGTCAAAATATAGTTCATAAGTCAAAGGTGTACATATATGTACCTCTTATTTTGAACGAGTTTCCTAGGGTGAATTTGCTGAAAAAAGAGTAACATTTAAAACTACCCTAATTTGTTCATGAACTGGACGCTATCTCCAAAAATAATCAAGCTACAAAAAAATTCACGAGGAAAAGTTGCTTGTCCATTTATTATGAACAACTTTCATATACGGGTCAATTTGCTGTAAAACAAACTTTTTGAAAACCACCCGAAAGGGCTCATGAAACGACCGCTAAGTCCGGAAATAATAAACTTATAAAAAAAATTCATTAGGCAAACTTATAGAGAATGTTCTTATGTACAATTTGCGTCTAATTATTTTGTTGTAATAGTTTTAAAAAAAACACCCCTATTGCTCAAAAACCGCAAGGGGAAAATTTCCGATTTTGGTAATTTTACACTCAGAAGACCAGCTTGCCCGTAATTTTTTTATTTTCACTCTCTATACGGCGATACAATTTTACTGGATTATAATTGTAATACACAACAGCCATTATTATCTCATAATGTCATAATCGGCACAAATTTCATTTATAAACGGAAGCATATCGGCATTAAATAAAATGAATGGAGCAATTGATATGCTATAATGTTTTGACCCGGTCGGGCAATAATTCCGAGTTGTTCATTCATAATGCACCTCATCAAGGTTACGCGTGGAATTCCAATAAAAGATATTGTAATGCGGATTGCGTCACGTACTGATAATTCTATATTTACAGTAACATTGATTCAGAGTTTTTCACTAAACTTAGCTTGCTGTATAAACGCGGCAGGGAGTCCACATGGACTTGCGAGTATGTCACCACGAAATACATTCCGCCCGCTCATTACATTACACATTACATTGCCTACTTGCAAATTTGTCGAATTTTTTATTGACGGGACGCATCTTCTTATCCAAAAAAGCGTCGTCTATTTTTTTTTCGAGAAACATCGATGAAAACGGGAGTTCCGTCTAGTTTGGAAAACAGTGCAGTCGTTATCGGCAAAATAGTTGCGTTTTTAGGGTTCCGTACCCAAAGGGTAAAAACGGGAACCCTACTACTAAGACTTCGCTGTCCGTCTGTCCGTCTGTCACAAAGGTCTATCTCATGAACCGTTATAGCTAGACAGTGTGAAATTTTCACAGATATTGTATCTATGTTGCCGCTATAAGAACAAATACTAAAAACAGAATTAAATAAATGTTTATAAATAAAAAAGTACTTTCACTAAACATTATCTTTTAAGTAAGAATATTACATAGAATATTTCAAGTCCTCGGTGGCCGCGTGGTTAAAGCGTTAGGACTTTACGCTGCTATGACGTTGGAGCCGTAGTAAGGCAGGTTCGAATCCTAGTCAAGGCGACGTTTTTTTAATCGTTTTTTTTTAATTTTTACATATTGTTACATATTTATTTTTACTTTTTAGATATTTATTATTGATTAATACAATTTTTAGTAATGTGTTTCTTCATTTTTTTTTAAATTACTTATACGCGCATTCAAAATTTCAACTAAATAAAAAAAATTATAATAATATAGGTAGTGTCTAATGTTGTATAGATAATGAAAAGTTCGTATAAATGTATGTCCTAAAATGCTTAGTTTCGGAGATACAGGGTGTAGATGTTTCATTTTTATTTCCATTTTTTCCAAATAATTTCTGAAGTAACGTCAATAGTTGGATGAAAATTGGTGTCTGGGAGTTTTTTGACATGATAAATATGATTTTGATGTCAATATGACTTCTATTTGTGGAGGGGCGTCACCTACATGTGTTTTAACTATTTTGAAGAGTAATAACTTTTCGTCCGTACCTGTATAAAACTACTGGGTGAAAAAATATACATTTCCGTGACTTTCTACGTAAAAAATGTCTCCTACGAACAACCGTTCTCCAGATATTTAAAATGAAAATAGTCTATACATGTCATTATTGACAAAAAATAAACACGTTGAGTAGATAATTTATATTTGACTGAAATAATAAATTTGGAACTTTTGGTACAAAAAAATTCAAATTTATCGACATATTTAATTTATGTCAATGTTAATAGGTATTGATAATTTCAATTCCAAATATCTCGAGAACCATTATTCGTAGCAATTTTTACCAAGAGACCTTTTTTACGTAAAAAAAGTCGTAAATGTATATTTCTTTACCTAGTAATTTTATACAGGTACCGACGAAAAGTTATTACACTTTAAATCAGTTAAAAATATGTAGGTGGCGCCCTCTACAAGTAGGAGTCATATTGATATCAAAATCAAATTTCTCATGTCAAAAAACTCACAGACACCAATTTTCATCTAAATATTGACGTTACTTCAGAAATTGTTTGGAAAAAATGGAAATAAAAATGAAATTTCTACACCCTGTACCTCCAAAACTAAGCATTTAGGACATACCTTTATACGAACATTTTACTTATTTTTATCTGCAGAATATTCTGCTTAAGTTTCCGGAATACAGTTCAGACCACCCTGTATACACTTTTAGTGCATTTTAATGCATTTTCCATTCACGTTTCAAAGGAATTAAAGCTGCAACGTCTTCAAGTTTGCATGCGTTATCGTTTGGTTGGAACGCTGACGGCACAAAAACTGCAATAAAATTGTTTAGAGCAAAAATAAAAATCTGGCAATGAACAAATATTGCATAAAATGTATGCTAAGAAAACAATATTCAAATATGGTCTTCTTGTTTTCAGGATTATTTGATGACAACAAAATTCTATTTGTTTGCGAATTCCATTGCAAGTAAATTTTTGAATATTTGTGTTTATAAGTGGTTTTGTTTCAAAAGTACCAATTGCAGAAATAAATAGATGTTCTCGCATTAATCGGTCGGAATAACATATCTATATACTTAATGTATTTTTCGCTGTTGCTGTTTGCTTTTTTACCAGTTTAATGTATTATTTTATGAACGCGTTTCTCCAGTAATACTATAGCTTTTATTGCTTCTAATTTCAGTTAACTATGCTCCGTTTACGGGGCGTTTTATGTTTTTCAGGTTGTTAAGAACGAAGGATTTTAACTCTAGATAAACACGTAGTCATTTTACTTTTTAATCT